CACAACATACCAAGTCCTTGCCTCACTCCTACACAACATACCAAGTCCTTCCCTCACTCCTACACAGCATACCAAGTCCTTCCTTCACTCCTACACAACATACCAAGTCCTTCTCTTGCTCCTACACAACAAGCCAAGTCCTTCCCTCACTCCTACACAAAACTACAAGTCCTTCCCTCACTCCTACACAATACTACAAGTCCTTCCCTCGCTCCTACACAAAACTAAGTCCTTCCCTCACTCCTACACAGTTCAAAGTCCATCCCCTCACTTTCCCACCACACAACATACCAAGTCCTTCCCCTCCTCCTACACAACCTGCAAGTCCTTCCCTCACTCTTACACAACATACCACGTCCTTCCCCTCACTCTGCACAACATACCAGTCTTCCCTCACTCACACGCTTATACCAGTCCTTCCCTCACTCCTAAAAACAACATACAAGTCCTTCCCTCGCTCTAAACAACATACCAAGTCCATCCCTCCTCCTGCACAACATACCACGTCCTTCCCTCCCTTTCCTACACAACATACCAAGTCCTTCCCTCACTCTTTACAACATACCACGTCCTTCCCTCCTCCTGCACAACATACCCAGTCCATCCCTCACCCTACACAACATACCAAGTCCTTCCTCACTCCTACACAACATACCAAGTTCATCCCTCACTCCTACACAATCTACAAGTCCCTCACTCCCACATAACATATCAAGTCCATCCCTCACTCCTACACAACATACCAAGTCCGTCCCTCACTCCCACATAACATATCAAGTCCATCCCTCACTCCTACTCAACATACCAAGTCCTTCCCTCACTCCTACACAACATACCAAGTCCTTCCCTCACTCCTACACAACATACCAAGTCCTTCCCTGCAGAGTTAATCACCATCTATTAAGTCTCTGATTCTTGTTTTTCATTCGACTTCTGAACTGTAATAAATTATGGTCACTATAAACTACAATTCTCTGGTAGGTGTTGCCAAGATATATGTTAAGCTTTTCCAGTGCCATAGGCAGAGCCACAGCTTCTTTCTCTATAGTAGTGTAATTCCATTGCACCAGCCCCAATATCACTGGTAAAACATAGATTTTACTTACGGACCATTCAAAATCCTGTCTCTGCCTCGTCCAGTTCAACACGACTTCAATCCATCTGGCAGTCGAACCCGAGGTATCCATCATCCACAACAGGTACTTTGCCAGTGAGCCACCATACTGTGTTGAATAGTATATACACCAGTGTCAACATTAGATCGGGTCAAAAAGGGCATATATATTTTAAATTGCAATTTAGAATGTGTAATAGTCTAGAAAAGTTACTCCTACATAAAGTTTATCAAACTCCAACATATGGTATTAGTCTTGTATTATTACAGTAAAAGATGGCACCAATTTGCAGCCCTTAACTAATACTACGTAGATCTATCCATACTAATAATACTGAAATGTGCTCCTTAATTTGGGTTACTTGATCAACAAACACCTTTCCCTCAATATCAATATTTTGTTCTTTTTCCATCAGTTTATAATACAGTTATCTCTTATTTTTCCTCTTCAGTGTACAGCAGTTTACATTACCCTTCATCATCTCTGACGTTTGCCTCGAGCTGCTGGAGGCTGCCCACCATCCGTGCCTCCACACTCGCCTATTTTATTTTTCTAAGTCGCGCATTTTCACCTATATGAAGGAGCCAATTCATGGTATAAGTGTTAAATTATGTTTGATGAATACTGTATTGTTCACTTCTTTGATAACTGCCCTGTTCACACGGCACGAGAGATGAAGCGCTGGTCAGAGGAAAGGTCGAATGAAATTGACCTTTTGGACTGGCCATCTAAATCTCCAGGTCCATATTCAATAAGTTTCTTTCAGTTAAACAATACAACTTTTCCTTTACCCAATAGAATAATCATGTTGTATTTTTTATTGAAACATTTAATATCACAAATATAATATTGTATAGGGCCATTGATTGTGTTAAGCGATTACTATGACTGTTTGTGAGTGCTACCCAGACCTCAACCCTATAGAGACCATTTGGCCCCAGATAGTGAACGCGTGGGAACCTGAAGACAAGCTAAACACTGGTCCCGACTCCTCCTACACACCCAGGACGAGTGTGAGCAGTTTGTGAGGAACCAACCACCTATGTAACCTTGTGTCTCAGTCCCAAGAAGGCTCCAGGGGGCTATATAAAAGGGAGGCCATTGGACAGGCTATTGATATTCTGTATGACCTGTGTTGGTAAATATTAAAAGTAAATGTGATTTCCACCCTCGTATTTTTCAATATTTATCCTCATATCTACGTTATTATAAATATCTAATTACTGGTGATTAAAACCTGAACAACAACTTAAAATTGATAAATATAGAAATGGAAGGTGCATTATAATAATGTATTAGCCCGTCAGACAGACCGTAATACTTATATTAATGTGGGCTACAAACATTATGTTTATATAATTACATCACGCACGGTAACTAGCTTATGAGCCGCGGTTAAGATACTAAACGCCTGGGCAATATTTCTATAATGTGGGTTAGTTTTTATAAGACACAATTGAAGTGATTGTGATTGTGGTGATAGTGTGGTGATTTTGGTGATGATGAAGATTGTGGTGATGGTGAAATGATTGTGGTGAAGTACTTAATTATTTAAAAGGGTGAAAGGAATCAATAGAGGAGATATAGATAAAGTTCTTATAATATCCGAGCAGGATAGGACTCGTAGCAACGGATTTAAATTGGATAAGTTTAGGCTTAGGGGGGAGATAGGAAGGAACTGGTTCACAAACAGGGTGGTGGACGAGTGGAACAAGCTTAGCAACTTTGTAGTAAGCACTGGAACGCTGGAAAGTTTTAAAAGGCTAGATCGATTCATGGATGAGAGAGAGTGGTAGTAACTCTCGACAGGAGCTGCCATGCACAGGTCAACCGGCCTATTGTAGACTCCTTATTATCCTATGTTCTTATGGTGGTGAAGTGATTGTGGTGATGGTGGTGAAGTGTTTGTGGTGATGATGGTGAAGTGTTTGTGGTGATGATGGTGAAGTGATTCTGGTGATGGAGTGAACTGATTCTGGTGATATTGGTGAGTGTTTCTGGTGAAGCAATTACCTTTTCATAAATCATCTTCACCTAAATTTCCATTTGATGACGGAATAAAACTCTCAGTAACTACTTATTGGGATGAAAAACTACCACGGAGGTGGTTAACCATGTAGTGGACGTCTCCCCTACAACTGCATAGCCGCATTCCAATGCCACAGTATCCTAGCAACCAGCCACCTGCTACGTCTTCCCTAGCAACCAAATGAGCGGCCCAGGGGGGGCGTCACCAGATGCCTCAGTATCCTAGCAACCAGCCACCAGCTGCTACCGTATCCTAGCAACGGGTCGAGAAACCGGCGACTTCCCACGGTTTACTTCCGGCGGCCTGTGTATATAAGCTCTGTCTCTCCATTGAGATTCATTCTGCTCTCGGTTCCTGAACACGCAACACCTCCTCCAAGCAAGCTCCTCGCTGTCCCGCTCTCATTCAACCTGGAGGCCAGCAACAGGCAATATCTTCTATAACGAAGCTCCTGCACATCTACCTCCTTCAACACGCTACTCACCGAACGTGTCTACTGAGCAGCTCCTCACCACACGGCATCTCCAGCACCAGACTGTCTACCATATAACTTATATTATATAAGAAAACCACCACCTTAGAGTTTCCATCCATCCTGAGTGCTAGACAACATAATATCACGAAACCCTACAACCAACTCTCTATCATCACATGTAACTTATGAAAACAAAAATACCAACAATTTACTCACCACAGTGGAGAGTAGCGACATAAACTTGCGTTTAAATGACTTAATATAAAAATACTAAAAATTTAATCACCACATAGCAGCCAATCACGACACGCCCTTCCCTCACAGCTCACTCAGGAAAATGGCAGTCTGGTGACGTCACAATGGTGTGTTATACCAAGGAAGGAATATATAGAGAAACTTGTACTACATCCTATTAACGTTCAGCCTTGATTGGTGTGCCATCTCTCAATTTAACTTTACCATAAATATTTAAGGTCATCAAAGAAAACGTGTTGTTGTCTAGAGAACGAACTTGTCTTTAGCTTAGACTCCTGTCATAAGCCATATACATTTTTATTCCTAGCAGCCATTGCATAAATATACATGATTGTCTGCTTATACATTTATATATTTATTTACTCATGAATAATTGTGTTCCTTAAATAAAAGAAAAGGCAATACTTAGGTGGTAGATAAATATAAGTTAAGAAAACATCAAAAGCAAGCGGGAAGGTAGACCTAATCTTCATGATATCCACAAAAAGTAGGAAGCAGTAATAAAAAGACTAAGTTTCAGCTTTCAGTCTTGAAAATATGTATAATTCAGGGTGGATAAGGCCGAAATACAGTACGTGTTTGAATGTTCTGATAAGAACACACATTATAATTTCTTTAAATATAAGACAGCATACAGCTTGCTAGCACTTCCCACTACGATTACGGACATAAACTATAAACTTTGTGATAGTTGACAGCCGTAATCAAGTTGGGTGGAAAAGATAAATGAAACCAGAGAAAAAAGGGAGAAATACATATTATATTTGGTGTGTGGTGTAAATAAAGAGGGATACTGTATATCCATCCCATTTAGATTGTTGCGAAAGAAACATATGCAATACAGCCCCAAGCAATAATACATTAGTATCCCTGGAAGCTCCACCACCTCTGTTAGGGCCCCTGGGGGGGGGCCCCAGCCCCAGAGAAGGCTTTAGGGGTGCCACAGCCGTTGGAAGGGCTTCTGGGAGGCTCCCTGAGGGTGCCTCCATCTCTGGAAGGGTTTTTGGGAGGAATCACAGCCTCTGGGAGGGTCTCTGGGGCGTCACAGCCCACGAGAAGACCCTTAAGGGTGCCAAAGTCGTTGGGAGGGCCTCTGGAAGGCCCCCTGGGTGGTAGTGGGCGCCGTCTATGTGAGGGTTTTGGAGGGAATTGCTGCTCCTGGGAGGGTCGCTGGGGGTGTTGCTATCCCTGGGGGTGCCGCAGAGTCTGGGAGAGCCGCTGGGAACTCCACCAGCTCTGGAAGGGCTGGTGGGGGCTCCCTGCCCCTGAGAAAGTCCCTGGGAGGCCGCTGCTGCTGGGAGGGTCCCAGGGGGCTCTGTCCTAATTGGGTGGCACCCTGGGGGCGCCGCCGTTTCTGGGGGGGTTTTGGGGGCGTCGACGCTTCTAAGAGGGTCCCGAGAGCGTCAACACACCTAGGAAAGTTGCTGAGGAAGCCACCGCCCCTGAGAAGGCCCCTGGGAAGGGTCCCTGGGGTCACCACCGCCCCTGGTAGGGTCCCTGAGCGTGCTGGCGCCCCTTGGAGGGTCCCTGTGGGCGCTGCCGTTCCTGGGGGTGCCGCCACCTCTTGGAGGGTCCTTGGCAGGTTCCCTGGGGGAGCTGCTGTCCGTGGAAAGGACGTTTGGGGGCGACGTCGCTCCTTGGAGGATCCTTGGGGGCGCCGCTGCCCCTGTAGGAGGGTCCCTAGGGGCATCACCACCCCTGGAAGGACCCCTGGCGCACTGTCCCTGGGAGTGTCCCTGGGGGCGCCACCGCCTCTGAGTGAGCCCTGGTGGTGCAAGCACACCTGGGAGGACCCTTGGGGGCGCAGCCACTCCTGGGAATTCCCCTGGGGGCGTCGCCACCGCAGGTGGGGGGGGGTCCTTGGGGGCGCGGCCGCCACTGAGTGTGCCCCTGGTGCTGCTACCACCCCTAGGAGGTCACTGGAGGCGTCTGTAGGAGGGTTTTGGTGGCGTCGACGCCCATTGAAGGGTCCCTGGGATGGTCCCTGGGGACGTCACCGCCACTGAGAGGGTTCCTAGGGGTACCTCCGTCCCTGAAAGGGTCCCTGTCGGAGCTGCTGCCCCTCGAAGGGTCCTTTGGGCCGCTGCCACCCCTGGGAGGGTCCATGTGCACGCCGCAGCCCCTGGGAGGGTCTCTGGGGGCGCTGTCGTCCCTAGGAGGGTCCCTGGGGGCCCAGCCGCCCCTGAAAGATTCGCTTGGGCACCACCTTCCCTTGGAGAACCCCTTAAGGCGTCGTCGCCACTGAGAGAGCCCTTAGGGGTGCCGCTGCCCTTTGGAGGGTTCCTGGGGGCACCACCGCCCCTGGATGTGGGTGCCTACGCCCTGGAAGGGTAGCTAGGGGAGCGGCCATTCCTGGGAGGGCCCCTGGGAGCACCAGATTTGTAGGACCCCTAGGTGCATTAGTTTTTGCCCTATTTACAACTCTGTGATATGCACCCTTAAATAAATACACCTACCATCACATTTCCAGTATCATCCCATTCTGAAGAAGGTAACGGAGAATAATATCCAACAGGAAAACAGAAGTTGGGATATTGTGTTGACTGACTGGCTGTAATTTGGTGGGTTAAAATAATAGATCATCAATCATATTTCACTAAGGGACTGCTGGAAGTATGTAATATATATGACACAATGAACAAGCATGCCATAGGGCCCTGGGAACCCTTGGTAGGGTCCCTATGGGGGCACTGCCCCTGGGAGGGTTCTTGAGGGTGCCACCATCCCTGGGAGGGTCCTTGGGGGCGCCCCAGACTCTGGGAGTGGCCCTGGGAGGGTCCCTGCAGGTGCCACTATCCCTGGGTGCGCCACTGCCCCTGTAAAGGTTCCTGTGGGCGTCGCCATCCTTGGGAAGGTCCCTGGGGGCGCTGGTGCCCCATGGAAGGCATCCTGGGATGATCCCGGGGGCGCCACTGCCCCTGGGAGGGTCACTGGAATTGTCCCTGGGAGCGTCGCCGCCCATGGGAGAGTCCCTGAAGGTTTTACTTTCCTATGAGAGTCCCAGGAAGCGCCTCCGCCCTTGGAAGGGTACCTGAAGGCGCCGACATCCCTGGGATGGTCCCTGGTGCCACCGCTGCCCCTGGGAGAGTCCCTGGGGATGCTGCCGCCCATGGCAGGGTACCTGGGATGATCTCTGGGTGCGCCACCAACCCTAGGTGGGTCTCTGGGTCCATCGCCGCACCTGAGAAGGCCCTGGAAGGGTCTCTGGGGGCTTCATCGCCCCTGAGAAGGTCCCTGGGGTCCCTGCCGCCCCTGAAAGGATCCCTAGACGTGCTAACACTCCTGGGAGGACCCTGGCGTCTCCCTCGCCCCTGAGAGAGCCCCTGGGGGCGCCACCGCCTCTGGGAGGATCCCTGAGAAGGCCTCTGGGGGCGTCGCTGTCCCAGCGAGTGTCCCTGGGGATGTCACCGCCTCTGAAAGGGCTCGTGGGGGTGCCTTCGTCCCTGTGAGGGTCCCTTGCGGCACTGCCATCCGTGTAAAGGCCCTTTGGGGCACTGCCACCCCTGGGAGGGTCCCCGGGGGCACCAATGTCCCTAGGATGGTCCCTGGAGGCGCCGCTGTGTTTGGAAGGACCCCTAGGTGCTCCACGGCCCCTGAGAAGGCCTCTGTGGGAGAGCCCCTGAGGGTGCTAATGCCCTTGGATGGCCCGCTAGGGGTGCTGCCATCTCTGGGAGGGTTTTTGGTGGCATTGACGCCCATTGGAGAGCCCTTGGGGGCACCGCCGCCCCTGGGAGTGTCCTTGGGATGGTCCCTGGGGATCCACCGCCTCTGTGAGGATCCCTGGAGACGCTGCCATCCCTGGGAGTGTCCCTGGAGGTGCTGCTGCCTCTGGAAGGTTCCTTAGGGTCGTTTAGGTCGCCGCTGGGAGGGTCCCTGGGCACGCTGCCTCTCTTGGGAGGGTCCCTGGGGGCGCCGCCATCCCTGGGAGGGTCCTTGGGAGCACCGCTGTTCCTGGTAGGGTCCCTAGGGGCACTGTTGCCCTTCAAGGGTCCAATGGGGGCGCCGCCATCTCTGGGAGGGTTTTAGGGGGCGTCAACACCCATTACACCCATTGGAGGGTCCCTGGGGGCACCACCACCCCTGGAAAGGTCCCTTGGGGCGCCAACACCCCTGTGAGGATCCCTGGGGGCACCACCATCCCTGGGAGGGTCCCTGGCCGTGTCATAGCCATTGGGAAGGTCCCTGGGGGTTCTGCTGTCCCTGGGAGGGTCCTTGGGAGTGCCACCATCTATGGGAGGGTCCCTAGAGGTTTTGTCACCCCTGGGAGGGTGTCTGGGGGCCCAGTCACCCCTGAAAGGATCCCTTGGGGTACCACCACCCCTGGGAGGACCCATGGGGGTGCTGTCTCCCCTGAGAGAGCCCCTGGGGGCACCGCTGCCCTTGGGAGGGTCCATGGAGGCGGCATAAATGAAAAGCATTTTAACTTTTTTTTTTTTTAATTTGAGTGTTAATTGCATTAATTACAGCACATTGTAAGTAATATACAAGGCAGTACGTTTACATGGCTATTATAGAACACATGAAAAGTCATGATTAGTAAACGTCACCTGCTGTCAAGAAAACTGAGGCAAAATGCCAAGAATACATACATACAGTACAGTACATACATACATACTACATGAAGCTCAATACTGCAATACATTCTCCAGTACTGTATTAAGCTTTTAATGTTAAATGTGTCAAATAGTTTCATAAAATTTTATCTTATGTACAAAAACAAAAGAAAAACTTCTTATTACTCTTTAAGATATAATAAGCATGAGATAAATTCATTCATCTTCATTAAACAGATAAATCTCAAGTATCAAAACTTGTGAGGGTAACCAGTCAATGCCTTCAATACAAAATAAATAATACTTTTGTATATAACATGAGAATTAAATATATTTTATATGTGAATTAAAGTGTTTTATATTGGAATAATTAAATTGATGATAATGATATGTACATGATGAGTCAAGACATGTTGTAGCAAGGTTATGGTTACAGTTTATGAGGCCTTAGTTAACACACTTACTACAACATCACAAGGCTAAAAATGAAAGTCTCCATTTATACTATGCAGTGGTGGATCCCTGGTTTCAATTTGTCCGCAAAATGGAGGTGTCACTCCTAATGACAATATATTTGTTTAATAGTTATTTTAAATACTGCAAATTCCTGATAAACACATTTATTGAATAGTACAGAAGGCGAAATATAGTTTGAAAATACCTATTTCAGATACAGTACTGTGTTCTGTGCTTCGTCTCTGCTCTGTGATGAAAGTTACGTAACCACCCTTAAAATATTCCGGATCCACCCTTGGCAGGTCTAGATGGAATTGAAAAGTTGTTCCACAGTGGCACTGCTACAGCATGCCAACTCATCTAAGCTCAAAGGCCTTTAAGGTTCCTGAGCATTGTGAGGATTTACTTGAGCTGTCTTCAACAAGTGAGGGAGATATGAGAAAGAATATGTTCCTAAGGTGAAGCAAGTACAGTATAGTTATTGACTTCAACATAGGAAGTAATGTGAACAACCCTTCTTGAATACCAACTCCTGCTCACTTGTGAAATGTCAGTAGTGTTATATTGTAAGTACAGTATAATCTTTCTGAATTGTTGAAATAAAAAAGAAATGATACATAAGAATAACTATTGAAAGTAGTGTTAACCATTACAGTGACTACAATCTTTTGAGAGGGATTAAAGTGGGGATTTAAGACAAACACTTAAATCACTTTGGCAAGTACAGTCATCCCTTATTTATCTGGACTGCCAAATGTTTCCAATTTAGAATATGTAGTTGGTATAGGATGTATGGAGCTATAACATGAACCTCACATTCAGATCATCTACTTATAGTACTATATATGCTATGAATCTAACCCCATAGGGTTTTAAAATTATCAGTACAGTGCAGTACTGTACAGTATTATAAACATATATTTTACTACATTCCCGAACAACACAACTTTATGATTATACAGTAGTAGTTAATAAGGAAACAGTACCTGTATTACTAATTTTATAATTGCATCATAATAAAAATAATTACCTGAAATTACAGATACAGTACCTGTAATAGGTATGCATACCTATCATATACAATTTTTTCAATTTTCATTATCCAGAAGCATGTTATGGCCAGACAAATGAGGGATGACGGTGTTAAATTTTAAAATATCTGTAGTAGTATAGTACAATATGTATAAAGCTTTGTGAATATATAGAGATTCATTTAATGTGGTAATTCTAAGATATTAATGTGTTTTAATGCAAAAAAGTTGTTATATTTCATTTGGATTTTTCCAATTACTTCATTTGTACAGTGATATTATTAGTTTACACATACAAAACAGTATTCACATATATATATATATATATATATATATATATATATATATATATATATATATATATATATATATATATATATATATATATATATATATATATATATATATATATATATATATATATATATACAGTATATATATATATACATATACAGTACAGTATACCAGTATATATATGAAACAGGCCTTCTCATGTAAAGTTAAATAGGTCTATGTATAATAACTTCATCACTTTAAGCCATCCATTCAAGTGCTTAATTAAATATGGGAAGGAAATTGGAATGTTATTTATAAAATAGTTGTACAGTTTAGAAATGACCAAGTATTGGCCCAGCATAGGCATTCAAAAATATTATGTTTCAAAAACTCATCATATGATACTGAGGTGCACAGTACTGTACTCTACTATTAATTATCATAAACTAAATGTACAGGTTCTTGTACACACACTATTCCTCACCTTCTAATGTAAATTTGCAAAAAATTACCAGGGTAATTAAGATTATTTTTCAGTTGTTCAAATTTAGTAGTCTTACACAGGTAGTCCCCATTTATCACATGGGGCCCCACTCCTAAAAACCTTTGCCATGTGTGAAATTGTAGTAATTTGTGCCTAATTAATTTTTCCATGAGAAACAATGTATAGTACTGTACAGTATTAAGGGGAGGATGCATTCCTAGCTGGCAGTTTTGTGGGTACTTAAACTGATCTTTTTTTCAGAAACTTAGAGATTGGAAAAAAATAAATACAGGTACTGTACAAATATTTATGAAATACTACAACTGAGAAACATGTGCATGCTCTCACACTCATAGCCTTTCATCAAGAGTAGTTTCTTCACCACACTCATGTTATCATTTAATAATGTCTAATTTCACCACTAAAATAAAACCATTTGATTGATTCTGGATATCTGTACAAGGTATGCTTGGTGAAGCACTGCACTGGTAAGTCTTTTTGCATTCATTATACATGATTTAGGGCAATTCCGAAAGAACTGATTGCATATACAGTATACATAAACAGCTCTTTCTAGCATGCGTGTCTGTGCAACCGGAAGGTTCTTGTTGAATTGTGCAATTGGTTTAATTTTTGTTCTTATGAAAGCACTTCTTAAAAAACTAAATTGTGATAATAAAATTATTTAGTAAAAAAATTAACCTGTGATACATGAGTTTCCAATAAATGATGACTACCAGTACAGTACACATATAAACATCTGATAAAAGCCCTGAGTTGCCCTCCCCTCCCTCCACCCCACATAAAAGGAAGTGACAAATGGTTGGAGAATACTTAAGCTGTCCTCCTACCTTCCACACACCCACCCCCAAACCCTTAATTAAAATGAAGTACCAAATAATAGATTTTTCCCCTTAAGATTTCTGATCTTTGGCTACATTCACCTGCTGCACACTGTGTAGTCTGACTCATAGATTTAAGTCAGACATGTCCTTAAAAGGTAATTGTATTTAATTCCTGTATCTTTAATTTTATCCCCTGACATTCACACCATTCTTTGTTTCCTACTTCAGCTATGTATCTACACTAACTCAGAACAGCTCATTCTACTCACAAATTTGAAGTTCTTTGTCTAATCATTTTGCGTTTCATTCACTTGACAGCCGCATCAACCTATAATACTCCACCAGTTGTTAACAATGGATTTAGCTTCACTGTATGTGCTCATGGTAGATACCACCAGAACACTGTGTATTGTACTGTGGGGAAACTCTTTGTGGTGTTTGATTTATAGCCATTAATTATACACTCAGTGTTTTTTTATGTTACTCTTATTATAAAGGTTTCTCATACGTATTTACAATCGTCTTCAGTTTATATACCTGTACAGTATATATATATATATATATATATATATATATATATATATATATATATATATATATATATATATATATATATATATATATATATATATATATATATATATATATATATATATATATATATATATATATATATATATATATATATATATATATATATATATATATATATATATATATATATATATATATATATATATATATATATATATATATATATATATATATATATATATATATATACACACACACACACACACACAAGTATACCTGTATAAACATCGTTATTCTATGGCAACAGGGATTTTCGAATTTTGATAGGATCCAAGCACAATAAGAAAAAGTTTGGTAAAGATCTATTATATAGTTTACATTTAAAATAAACTTAATACCATTACCATCCATTTACAACCTGTGGAACAAAAATTTGAGTACAGTACAATACTGTTACAATATTTACAGCTCAGCTCCAACAACTCCTACAAAAGATATATGTAAAGTGATGCCAAGCTTAAAATTATGCAGTTGTAAATAACTACATGCTGACATGATACAGGAGCCAAGATATTTAAAGGGTTCATTGATTGATAAAATCTTGGAAGGAAAAGTCTGTAAGAGCTTAACCAGCAACTGAATGGACTAACATAGGAGACAGTTGTAATGAGGAAGCCTTAGCACAGTTCCACAATATTCACCTAATGCCTTTCTATTAAATCAGGTTGGCATACTAATAACAACTTGCAGGTAATAATGTTATTCATATCATTCATATCACAAAAGGAATGCAAATGTTGTATCTCCTTCCTCTCTAAGTAATAAACACTTAGATTAGTTCTGCTACAAGCACTGGTTCTCCTTGGGCATTGAATGCAAGATTACGGGAAATTGGATGAAGGATGGATGGTTCATCTGGCAGTGGGCGGTTGGCAAGATCAGGTGGTTGGAAGGTTGATCCCGTAAATGAAGTCCTCAATTCATGGTAATCACCGTTCTTGATGGAAATTGAAATTAATTATTATAAAGAATAGCTTTTGCAAACTTTTACATACAGATAAACCTCTAGTTCCAATGGGATTAGATTCCTGACAACCCAATCGCAGGTCGATATATTATATGGGCTAGTCAGACACCCATAGAAAAAAAAATCCTAGAATACTACACTACAACAAAATTAAACAACACCCACCACATCATTAAAAACAAGTCTAGTCATCATCATATGTCCTCTTCATG